TGTTGTTTGCATGGTTGTGTCCAGCCCAGCGCAACAGGAGAGCAAAAGACCAAACCGACACAGAACAGTGTGAGAGAGCTGAGAGGCCTAGGCTTGTCTCCTGATCTGGTGAGTGAGTTGCTATTACATAAACATGTTTGATGCCTCATTTGCATTTAAATTACATTTCTGTATTAAAATGGATTTTTGAGTGGCATATTTTACATGTTGAAACCCAGATGTTTTATGTGCAAAAGATTCTTTGACTCCTAATTCATAATTTCACTATAGGCAACCAGGGATTGGAGTGCCATGAAAGTATTTGCCCTCTTTCCTGATTATCTGGGGTTTTTTGTTTTGTTTTTTGCATATTTGACACACTTCAGGTGCCTGAACTTTAAATGCTGCTCCAATCTGCTTCTTCAAATGAAAAATGGATTAACCATTTATTACCGCTGTATGGAAAAATTGTGCAAACTCTTTGTACAGTCACCATCAACCAACCACAGACCCTTAACTGTGATTAGTAATTGGAGTGCTAGCATTCTGATAATATTGCAAGCAGTTTTGTGTTTGTACATGATGTATTTGCACTAAAACATGACCCCGTTAAAGGATAAAGCAAGACTATTAGATCACTGGTATAGTGGGGTGATGCGTTCATGCTGGTACTCTGCATTGATGATATGATGGTTTTAACTTCCTGGGAAGCTTTTCTGAAACAGAATGGACATGATCCTGCTGAAACATTAAATCAAGGAAAAATTAAAGCCTCTTTGCCTACAAGTCACAGTACAAAAAAGAGAAATTTAGTCAGAATGGAGATGGAGGCCATTGCCAGCTTGCACATAATCAGGACTGTAAGATTAAGAAAGGTGCTCACACAGATTTCTATAAATTTAAAAAGAGAAGTCATGCAAGAGGACACATATTTTCTTACTTGAACCCAGCCTCATGTGTGCTACATGTGGCGAAGTTCAAATTTGGACAAACTCGGAATTGGATCTTTAAAGGTTTTTCTGATTGTTTGTTTTTCACTGGCAGATCATGTGCCGCTGTACAACTGCGCTGGAGAACTCTGTCAAGGAAAAGATCTCAATGTTCTGCCACGTGGAGCCTCAGCAGGTAGGTGAAGCACCTGTCAGGCTCGATTAAGCCATAAAGCTCTCTCCATAAACATCTAAAATGGATTACCTGTCTTCTTCCAGGTCATCTGTGTGCACGATGTGTCATCTATCTACAGAGTGCCATTACTGCTGGAAGATCAGGGTGTGGTGAGCTACTTGAGCAGGAGACTGAATATGCCAATAGAGACCAGACCAAGGAAGATGCTGACTAAATGGAAGGAGATGTCTGACAGGTGAGTGAGCACCTTTGTGGGTTGAACCTTTCCCATGAGAAGTCATTGTCCTCCAGAGAAGACCGAGAAATAAATGGATGCCCATATTTTTCCTCACAGGTCAGACAGACTGCTAGAGCACTGCTCTATCGCACTGGTGGGGAAGTACACAAAGTTCTCAGACTCCTATGCTTCTGTTATAAAGGCTCTCGAACACTCTGCACTCGCCATCAGCCACAAGTTGGAGGTTAAGGTATGTACACAGAATCATAGTCTTTAGTCTCAAATGATCTAGACATGGTTCAAAGTGAAGCCAGCTCCTCCTAGATTTAGTCCTTCCTCATTGTATTCCATGGCTATGACAGTCTTTGCAGTACCCTGAAGTTTAAAGGTATTACGGCTCTAGAGTAGGGGAAAGTGTTGATAGTTATGATTAGTGATTAAATAGTTGATTTTAGTTTGGGGGTTTTTGTTTGGTTGTTTGTTTGTTTTTGGGAGGGGGGGGGTTGTTTTAAACAACTTGACTTGTGCCTTTAGACCAATCATGTAAGCTGTGAACATCTCTTCTTCTCAGTATATAGACTCTGCTAATTTGGAGCCAAGCACTCTGCAGGAGGACCCAGTGAAATACCACGAGGCGTGGCAAAAACTCTGCAGCTCTGAGTGAGTGCCCTGTAGGAGCACAATGTCCTGTCTCACTAGATAATCTAGCCTGAATATTAAAATGGAACTTTTATCAACATGACAATGTTTCCACTGTCCTCAGTGGCATCCTGGTTCCTGGAGGTTTTGGTGTGAGGGGAACTGAAGGAAAGATTCATGCCATCAACTGGGCCAGGAAACAGAAAAAACCCTTCCTCGGTACAAGAGTTTCTGTGGATCACATTACATGTTTTATTATCTTACTCCATATTTAATGTCAGTAAGTAGCAGCATCAGAAACACTACTTGACTGGTGTTCATATTTCTGCAGGTGTGTGTCTTGGAATGCAGCTGGCTGTATGCGAGTTTGCCAGGAACGTGCTCGGCTGGACAGGTAATGTTTTTGATATTATCTTCACAGTAAAGAAGAAGAAACAAAGCAGCATTACCTTTTAATGTGAATGCTGAGTGATGTAGGTAATTAATAAATGATTGAAATTTCATAGATGAAAAGTGTATATTGTTCCATGTATACAATAATTTTGGATGGATAGGTAATGAACATAGGATCTATATCTATGCTAAGTTTCATCATTGAGATTGTTTGTGGGTACGTATAGGTAGATCCAAAGAGGACCATTATAATCTGATTGTGGGTCCTTGTGTGTGGAGGAATAAAAAAGAACCACATTGCCTACTTCGTTTTTCAGTCAAAAGTCCCGATTTTCCTGCAATACCCTCGATCTCAATTGTTAAGGTTCGCCTGGAATTGGGCAAATTTTTTGTGCCAGTTGTGCCTGGAAATGTATTTGGGGGGGGAACAAGTACTTGTTTCTTTAGCAGCTTAACCAGCAAAGGTTCAGATGTCTGTTCCCGCTGTGCATCAGTCCAGTTCTTGTACATTTAGTTTTGTAAAGGCGGTTCCTATAATACTTAAACCTAGCCTTCTGATCTTCAAAAACGTTACTGCTAACTTCAATAAATTAATAAACTCACGCCATAAACACTGGTTCCAGCCAGTGTCCGCCTTCTTGTCAACTTTGCAGCAGCCGTAATGCTAACATTGAACCTTGAAAATACAGAAGATAGTCTGTCAAAACGTGTTTGTTACAGCATAGTTATTTGAGAGAGGTGTGGGAATGGGAGCTTTCTTCAAAGCATAGTCAGTTTTCAGCTTGAAATGCATCTCCTACTCATAAAAGGTGGGCACTGGTGGCTGACTGTTGATTAAAATAACTAATGGCATATTGTTCCGTTTCATACTTAGATGCCAACTCGACTGAATTTGACCCGGAAACAAAGCATCCTGTGGTAAGTTTTATGCATTGCACAAACAACCTGACTCCTGCATGCACTGTAACTGTATATTAAAATCCATCCTTTCATTTTAATCTTTGCAGGTGATTGATATGCCAGAACACAACCCCGGACAGATGGGTGGCACCATGAGGCTTGGGAAAAGACGGACCATTTTCCAAACCACCAACAGCACACTGCGTAAGAAAAGCTTTTAGTTCAACCTGGACCAGCCGGTGATGAACTGTTGCTCTGTGCTTACAGCTCTTCTGTATTCCAGGAAAGCTCTATGGAGATGCAGAGTATGTGGATGAAAGGCACAGACATCGATTTGAGGTAATGCTGAACTAATATTTCATCATCATTAAGTGTTCAGTGCAGAAACAGGAAATTGGATAGAGAGTTAGTGGGGGACAGACGTATAAGCAAAGGGCCAATCCGGGGTTGAACCCAAAGCGCCGCATTTAATCTTGGTCACCTGCTCAACCTGTGATCCAAATGTATACCTTGTTTTTGTGAACAGGTCAACCCTGAGCTTAAGAGCCACTTTGATGAGAAGGGCTTCCGGTTCGTAGGTCAGGATGTGGAAGGAGAGAGGATGGAGGTCATTGAGCTTGATGGTACAGAAAAGCAAACAGAATTATTTTCAGTTTTAATATATCAACCTTTTCTGTGAAACCTTCAACAGACTGTTTAAAATTGTTTTCTCCACTTCCAGATCACCCATATTTTATTGGTGTGCAGTACCATCCCGAGTTCACTTCACGTCCCATCAAGCCATCACCCCCCTACCTTGGTTTGTTGCTTGCTGCTGCGGGGAAGCTGCAGAGCTACTTACAGAAAGGCTGCCGTCTATCTCCACGGTAAATAGAGTGTATGTCTCAGTTTACTCATTTTCTAAAGGTATGCATACTAATTGAGACTGCTTCTGTGCCACACAGGGACACATACAGCGATCGGAGTGGCAGCAGCACACCAGACTCTGAGATATCAGAACTGAAACTTCCTTCACTCTCCAATGAATGACCCATCTGTGGAAGATATCTTAAGTGTCCTACCATCAGTTGTCTCAAGTGTTGGAAAACTGTACTGTTCAGATAGGGCTGGCATTTCCTAGAGTACAGAAGTGACTACAGGCAGCTGCAGATTAAGTTATGGGACTTTCAGCTCTAAACTACGCTCATGAAACAAACACCACTGAAAACCATAGTGTTTAAATAAAATTTAAACTGTTACTATTCATTTTTGCTCTTCCTATAAATGTTACAGAACTATGAATTGGAGTGGTTAACTTCAGTTGTCACTCATTTCTACAACAGCACTTTAGAAACTGGTTTAACATGGGAGTTATGGGTTTCCAGATCATCTTGTAAGTTTAATTTACTTTAATGGATCATAGCTGAAGTTTAGCTTAACGTCATCACATTTATTGCAACAAGTAAGCAATAATTGTGACTTTAGTCTACCTATTTTGCTTTTTGTACAACTCAAAGTCGAGAGGTCTCCAATTAGGTCACCTACTGCAGGCATACAACATGGTGTGTGATTAGCTTTCTACTCCTGCTTCATTGACTTTCACAGGGTTTGTCACCTGTGGCATACTGTTGTAAAGAAACTGCTACTTTTGTTTCTGATGCCACTCTACCACCACAGTACTGTTGTGGCCTTAATGTAAATAAATGTGCTACAAACGGTTTGTAGCATAGTTCAATGTCTCCATTCTTTTGATCATGTTACAGACAAGTTTCCAGAGGTAGTCAAGTCAGTTTTATTACAATCTGCAATTGTCACACACAGGGTTCATTTTCTTAGGTTCAGCCCTTAACCTCTTAGGACCTGGCGTCCACATATGTGGATTTCACATTTTTGGCTTATTTAGACCATTTTTAAAAAAAAAAAAAAAAAAAAAAACAAAAAAGCATGCCATGGAAGAGTTCAGGTCTTAGAAGGTTAAAGAGCCAGGTCAACTCATTCATGCATTTCACAGCTGCAAGAAAGCTCCGATCCAAGTTGGTTTTCTTCAGTAGTGTTTGTGCCTAGCCGGAAAGTTGGCAGCAATTCTCTCATGGAAATGTCACGTCACTCCCAACGTAGCACCATACCTGAAAAATAAACACCTCAGGTTAGCCAAATTCAGAAACTTTTTGTAAACATTCTCATTATGCACTGATCTCAGTCCCATATCCGCAAGCTTCATCCAGAAGTCAACAATGTATTAAGGTCATCATAGATCAAAATAACCACTGACCAATTTCAGCATCAACATACCTGTAAATTACAGATGTGAATGTACTTTGTTACAGCTCTGCAACACCAAGAGGTCAAGCGGATAGACGCCTAAAATTTAATTTAAAAAAAAAAAGTGAGATCACAAGTTGCATGTTAGCTTAGTCTATTTTTCTAGCAGATGTCTGTTGGACAGCTGAGTGGCTGCTGATGGCACAGAGTGGCCACAGCAGTCAAAGACCACCCTGTTTTCTTGCATGCACTTGGAGAGCATGGAGCTACAAACAAGCACCGACCCTTAGGATAGCATGCTGGAACAGGGACATAAGTGGCCTTTTAATATTTTTAAAAAAAAAAGTGAACTCTTACCTGAATGAGCAGTTTTCATTTACAAATGACAGATCTCCATTCACCTAACAAGAAAATTTGGTTAGTCGTTTTGCCCCAACAAACATTGATTAAAGTCAGTCAATCCCATCAAGTTTTAATAAATGTGGCTCAGGAAGAATAAGTCTCAATCAAGACTAGATCAGTGAGGGCAAGTTTGTCATCACAGCCAGGATTGTCTGAATTATTTTGAAGAGTTACCTGCATGTTGTGTTCTCATTTGATGGTTTTGGTCTTGCACCTTTGGTGTCACCCAGTACCTATTGGAAGACAAGGCAAATCACTTACATTTCTTTGAAAGTTTGCATTTAATCCTGGGATAACTCACTGATCAATGTCCTTCCCCTAAATGTTGCTGTAGCAGTCATTTTCAAAACCGAACAGCGACCGTCGGTGAAAGTCTTCATGTCGGCTTCCTTTTGACCGTTCACTGCTACATGGGAGCATGAACGGCTTCGATAGGAGCCTTTTCACGATGGGACAGCTAGTTTTAATTTAAAGACTCACCTGCATTCTGCATATTGGGAAGCAAGGTTGAACTGCCATTTCAAATAGACCCTAGAGACAAAATAAAGAAGATTAAAGATTAGTTATGTTGAAAACAGTTGCCTGTGCCATCACCTTTTATAACAAACTGCATTTAGTCTAGTTTTGATTCTAAAGGTAGTTTAAGTTTGTTACAATGACATCAATGCTATTAACGTCAGAGGCCTTAAAGGCTAATGTTTATTAAAATGAGCTAGCATAAATGGCTTTGATTTTACCACCTAGTCTGATTTCCATGCCACCCTAAGAAAATTTCTCAAGATCCACCCCTGGCCACGTGGTACAAACCCATTAGCGTCCAAGCTAAGCTATCAGCAAGCTAAGCTATAGCTAACCCTTAGCATGGTCACTAAAGCCTAGGTATATCTACTGTCGAGTTCCCAGTTATATGACAAGTCAGCAAGAAGTGTTGATTATAAAAACAAGACTATACTACATACCCCAAAGTATTAACTAGTCAAGCATTATGGCTGTAGATACAAGCTAACGTAAGGTCGTTCACTCACTTACGCTAAAAGCGCTATATTAATGTTATAAAAAAAATAATGAGTTCTGTGTCAAGGTGGACTGGATTTAAAAGCTGCGCATAATTAATGTAAATACCTGGACACATGACCTTAGTAATCGACAACACCAGCATAAAGCTTACCATAGCTCTTTCTTGGGGACTTCTGCTCACATGGAAGACTGCAGGAAGAAGAGAGAAAGCGGCAAGGCCCGCTGTTCTTATATACTCACTCTGATGTCCGGCAGCGGTGCGCTGATTGGCTCGCGTTACTCACGCGGACCGGTTGAATAGTGGGATATGTAGTATCACACTCCTCCTCCTTCTTCTGTTTTTTAAGCAATGCCTGCTGTATTTATTGAAGTTTACTGAGACTCAGGCAATAGGGTTTTACACTTAACTAGCCACGCATTTTTCACAGAGTACAACGGCACAGAATAAACTGTGTGCAATTAGAGAAATATGCTGTAAATCCAGACCATCGTCGGAAGTGAATATAGGCTACTTCAGAACCACGGACAGCAACACACTGCGTGTTTTAGGTTTTGTGATATCAATAGCGGACGATATATTAAATAAATGGGGGTGGTTAAGGAAACTCTGTGCAAAACATGCCCAAGACGGACCTCATATAGATATATTGTTCTGTTTTTGCTGCTTTTAAACCCCCTATATGATTCTTTTACAATATACACAGGCCAGATGAGGTTGTAGCGGGTTTATTGGAGTGATATTCGACTAGTAGAGCATAGGTAAATCTATCACATGACTGCTGCGGCCGCTCTGTGCTCCGCGTCTCTTCCTGAACAGAAGGCAGTAGCAGCAGCTGGGGCTCCATGTAAACACGCCGCGCGCAGGGCTTTGTTTCACACACACTCACTCCGCAGGTATCTTCCCTCTAGTCATGCCATGGATATTTTGTGGCAATATCAGTTTCGAATCATTCTACTCGGGGATTCCACAGTGGGCAAGTCCTCGCTGTTGAAGCGTTTCACGGATGGAATTTACAGCGATGTGGCGGACCCGACGGTCGGGGTAGATTTTTATGCCCGCTCGCTTGACATCGAACCCGGGGTGAAAATAAAGCTCCAGCTCTGGGATACGGCTGGCCAGGAACGATTCAGGTATAGTGAGGTGAAATGTATCTTATATAGAATCTATCTGAGCTAAATATGTATACAACCATAGTCCTTCAAAGAGATTTTTAAATAAATAATTGCGAGCCCTCGGTTTAATGTCGTGTTTGGCTACTATTCTCAGTCCCTTTAAATTGAATATGGGCCATTTCCCCTTCTCGTTAGCATGTAATGAAATGAGTTTAGACAGCGGAGAAAGGAGGCCAATAGAAGATATTACGATGTCCTGACCTGTATAACAACAGGACACGGCGACTTACATCATGCTTTCATGGATGATGGGCAGCCTCCTCATATTTAGGCCCCAGTTTGATTCCCTCATATACAATTTCCAGGCCTTCGCGGGGATGACAAGTCCCGATCCAAATCTATTTGTTGTTGTTTTCATTCATCTATCCTGTTGCTTGCTCTGCTTTTCATGCCCACTGTCACGGATCATTTCCTTTAAAGAACTCCTGTGTCTGGAGAAGCTCTTAGATCTGCTTTCCCGTTTGAAGCCTCTGAGGGTGTTTTCCTCCAGGCTTCACTTCACTTGTCTTTCACTTCTGCCTATCTGCCTGTAGAATCTGTGGTTTTTAAAGCATCAAATGCAGAGATCAGAGTCTGTATGTGCATATATTTTTATAAATAGAATAGTATCATGCACCAGATGTTTTGACCCAAAGGATCCTTTGTGTTTTTGTATTTTATTTCACTTGATGGCATTGTTTAGTTTCCATTTAATTAAGCACATTAATGTATGAAACGTTAAAAAAAAAAGCATTCGCATTGCAAGTTTTGACTTCATAAAATTACAGAAATTGTTTTAAGAAGCCAAGAGAGACAGACCTTCCATAGCAATATGACTTGAATATATTTATTAGACCTGTACATTTCACAGACTTTGATCACAAAAAAGTCCCAAATGTTGGGTGAGGTCCAACTTTATTATCAAATTATGTATTATGCCATTCAGTGATATATTACCATCATAAATGAGGTCCTGACACAATTCACTTAAGTACACAATTTACACAATTTATTAAGTATGCTTCAGTTTTAACATATTTAACTCCCCTCATATTGAGCACACTGTCTCAATAAGTAGTTTCATCTGAATGGCAAGGCCAGCTAAAGCACAGATGTAACTCCATGAGTCTTACTAATGTAAAACACCAGTAACACAGCTTTGAAAGGAAATTCTTGTGTCATTTAAGTGGTTAGCTTGCAAATAGACAGTTGAAAGACTTAAAAGAGAGCATGCAACCACATTCCTTGACTGACTTGGAAAACAGTGTGAAAATTGATTTGGGATTGTGTCAAATGGGACTTGATCTTATCTTAGTTTCCGCTGTCTTGACATTTGAGCTTCACTTTGGCTATAATATTTAAGTTTGTTTTCTATAAACTGATTAATGGGAACTATGACTACTCTTCTATTGTAACTGAGCACTCAAAGCGCTTTTTTATACATGTCCCATTCACCTACACACACTCACACACCGAAAAACGCATCAGGCAAGTTGGGTACAGTATCTTGCTCAACAATACTTTGACATGGAGACTGGAAGACCTGCTCTACCTCCTGAGCTACAGCCACCCCTTTTCTTCAAAGACTTGATTTGACTCAGGGTTTGACTTGACTTGCTTTGGCAGAGAGGACTTGGACTTACCTCAAGTGATATGAATTTTCCACCACAAAAATTAAACTCATATTGTGATGTTACAAACAGCAGTATAAGGGTAGTGAACTGGTAGGAACCATCCAAGTTCATAGAGCTGTCCAAGACATTTAGAAGTTATAAGTCTAGAGATGTTTGTCTTTGGTTTCTAACACCAGTAATGTGTCTTTCCACCAGGTCTATCACAACATCATATTACCGCAACTCTGTAGGTGGCCTGCTTGTCTTTGATCTCACCAATCGTAAAACCTTCGACCATGTGAGGGAATGGCACAAGGAGGTGAGTGAGCACATCCTGCCTCACCACATGGTCTACATCCTCATCGGCCATAAAAGTGATCTCAACAAGGACCGGAAGGTGAGCAGGGATGAGGCAGAGCAGCTGGCCGCTGAGCTGGGCATTCGCTATGTGGAGACATCAGCCAAGTGCAACAGCAATGTGGACCGGGCCTTTGAGCTGCTGACCAGGGACATCTACGAGCTGATGAAGATGGGGGAGATCGTCACCCGTGATGGGTGGGATGGCGTGAAGAGCGGCCTGACTGCCAAGGTTCTCTACTCTGCAGAGGATGAAGAGTTGGCCCCTCCATCAGCTGAAAAAAGCTGCCACTGCTGACTGAGAAGTCTTTGTGTTCCAACACTATCCTATCACACCAAGAGCTCACTTTGTCTCACAGCCGATCATCAAAACCAAATCACTGAGGCTTAGCACCCTGTGATATCACCATCCATCACTTCCTCACCTTGTGTTTTGTGACCTTTCTGTGTTGATTTTTCAGACCACTGGGATTATTTTCAATCAGGATGCGAGAGTAAATACCAATGTGTACCTGTTGGGAAAGTATTGTATTGTTAATTTGATATGATGTAGCATGAGTCGAGCTGTTTTGAGCCTCATCTTGCTCAAGAAAAAAAAAAGAAAGCATGCCAATGTGATCAGGTGTTGTTGCTTAAAGTGTAGCCAGTACTCCTTTTCATAGCAATGGAGCTAAAGGACTACTGAGCATACGAAAGTACAAATGGACTATTATGGTCTGGCATCATCCACATTTCATATGGTACTATTATGGGTTTCTACTTGTCAAAAGTTTGTGCAATGCTTTGCCTGCAGTCTTAAGTGGCTGTAACATTGTAAATAATAGTTAAATCTATAAAGATGAGAGCTAAAGGTGACTGAAAGCTATTTAATTCATAGTGTGAACAGTGCACTCTGCAATAAGTGTCACCATATTAAATCAATGTGCTCCTCCTGCTACTGTAAGCTGTGTGTGCACTTATGCCAAATTGACCTTTGACCATTCTGTGAATAGATTAATAATGTGTTTTTTTTTTGTAAAAAAGTAGAGATTATTTGTAGTAAAAGTGTATACATAAACATAGATTATTGTAATTAGACTAAGTGTAACATACAACATTCACAATAGCAGTAAGTGGCAATGTGAGAAAAGGAAGTTTAAGGTCTAAATATGCCCCATTGATATAGACATAGATGATATGCACAGCAAAACCTAATGAGCTTTGATATGTTTATTGCAGGCCTCTAAACTGGCTTTAATTCAGCTTATCCGGGCCATCAGCCCAACAAATGTCATGTCATGAAACCATGACAAAGGATTTAGCTGCATTTTCTGCCTTTTTTGCTTTCATTTTCTTTTTGCTGTACAAATGAACCTGATAAAATTCTTTGTAGGGCCTTAAAAGTGCTTAGAGAATTAGAGAAAAGCTCCAGCTTAGCTTAGCATAAAGAATTGAGAGTAGTAACATGTTTAAGCAAATTAATTTTATGTTTACATTCATGGTTGCCAAAGTGCGGCCTGTGGGACAGTGGTGGCCCTTGGTAATGTTCTGTAGCTGGATCAAAACAGAATCAAACAAAGGGAGCATTTGTTGTCTGTTTTTGTTCTGGACAGCTTTATAAAACACAGTTACAGTTGTCAAAAAATGTAACAGACAAAATTGCAATTAACAACTTATAACCCCTCCCTCTGAACACCAACTAAAAGGGTTTGTGTGTATTTTTCCTGTACCTGTATCACTTGCCTACTGGTTCCCTAAACTGGCACTTTCTTGTTTAAACCATGTCTGAAAAGCCACTAAAACCTGTAGTTACCAAGTTTATCTATTACTCTTCAACAGCTGGAGGCACTCAACCAGTTAAGTTGTTAATACGCAACTGTTTTCCAAAGTCACTAATGTAAGTGTTCTGTTGTTATTGTGTTTTTTATGATGTTTTTAGACCTGTTATATAAATGTGACAAAGGAATTTCCCATTATTAATTTTCTCACGCTGATTTTACGCACATAAATATAATTCTAAAACAACAGTTTGGAGCTGCAATATACCTACACCCAAAGTCACTAAAATCCCTTGTTAGCTAACAAATGTGATAAAATCTTTGTTGTGACTTTAGTTTTTCTTTGCTGGCTGGAGACACTCAAAAACTCTCTCCAGAATCCCTGCTGAATTATTAATAAGAAAAATGATTTAGACTTTTTTAAACCACAGATTCAACAAGGAAGATAAGCTGTGCATTTTAGAGGCGCTAGTATCGCTAGCTATTGTGATAGCTGTCACTCCTGCTTCCAGTCTTCATGCTGAGTTAGCCTAGTTTGCCTCTTTGGCCCCCACATATCAGTATCTTTTCAGCAAAATCCTAAAGAATATTAAATGTTTTTTGTTTTTTTTAAGGGCTACAGTAGTAGGCTATTGTATTTTAGACCTGTTATATAAGTATAACAGAAGAAATCCCTTTTATCAGTGTTCAAAAGCAGAATTTTTACCAACCTATATATAGTTAAGAAGTGCAAGTTAATCTTGCTCACATTGTTTGTTAACTAACTAATGTACTGTAGATTTTATTCAGCTGTAATGGAGAATGATTGGGTGTCTGCACACATGACTTCCAAAACCTGCAGTGAATACCTTTAACAAAGAGGATCATGAATTCCTTTAAGGCTCTAGAGGCTAATAATTTGCTGCTTGCAAGCCTGGATCTTGTTGCGTACAGTTTGCTTTCCCTGGGGCTTCTACAACACACACTACACTGTAAACAGTAAGAAAATATGCATTCTAATGTTTTTACTTAGCATTCATGTGACCAGTCTGACACTTTTTTTTCATTTGTCTGAACCAGTTAATAAAATGTACATCATGTGGTTGCAGCTTAGTATTTGACAAGGAATGTATTCTAACTCATTTCTGCAATCCCTTTTCGTTTTTCATTTATTGTTTTGCACTAATTCAAACTGCATTTTTTCCCCTGGTGAAAGTCTGTGTTTGTTTGACAATCAAATGTTATCATTTTGAGTTCTTGGTATAGGTGAGGAATACAGTGTTGGGGTGGCAAGCCTTGAAAACGTGCTGAATGAAAACCAACAAGTCTGTACAACTACCTTTCTCACTTTTGCCTCTAAGGGTTACATTGTATTGTATGATACTGTGTGTTAGCACTGTGCTGTGAGCGTTACTGACGACTACAGACTCATGTAGTCGGGAGGAAAACACTGGAAAGACAGGAAGAAGTATTATTTTGAAAGATTGACTCTATGGGATAAAAAGACCAATTGAAAACTTATATATACATCAATCAACAACAGCACAAAAAATATGATTCATTTCCATCTTATTTGTAATCTTACAAGCTATACCAATACATCTGCAGTGACTGTAAGTAGTAATATTACTACAATGAAGGTGAATGACTAACTTTCAGTCCAACTCTAGCTTCTCTCTGTGTTCTTTGAAAACAATTTGTGGAAATATTCTTATTTGCTTTCTTTCCAATCTCTCTTTCCCAGTGAGATGACAAGACTGATGCGACATTATCTTCTAGTGTTCTGGAGTCAGGAGGCAGTTAGCATAGCTTAGGATAAGGACTGCCTCCATCTGACTTATTTCAACAAATGAACTGCAAAAACACCAAGCAGCGAACACTTCTGAGCAAACAGACTTCATAGTTTGAAGACATTAAGCTGAATCGTGTAGCAGACATGCACTTAGTTTACAAAATCTTAATTTTTGTCTTTGACTTTTTCCAAACCCCGAAAAATGATTTAAATATTGGACTTTTGGTGCCAACCTAACGTGTTCCAGGGGATACACATGTAGACAAATAATCTTTAATTATTCTATCTTCAAATAGATATATTTCACTCTGCCAGTTTTGTTGAACGTATGATTTAAATGTAGCTTTGCTGTAAAAAATATACTTCCTATCGTTCCTTAAGCATCACTAGTTTATTGGTTTAGTATCACTTTTTACTATATTACACTTGGATTCAGCTTCAGCATTATTTGTATGATATAATAAACCGAAATCCAAAGCTATTCTAGCATCTTTTTTAATGCAAAAAGGAAAACGGTAGCTCTATTCAGTTTATCAAAACCTGTGTTACTAGTTTGTCTTGCTTTACAAACTGTGCATACCCTTGGCTGTGCTGTTTAACTCCTGTTTACTTTCCACAAATTATTTTTATGTTTTAAACATATCACCAAAATTCTGTTTAATTTTTCTATATAGGAACATAAATAGTAAAAGATCATTATTCAATTCTGGCCCAATAATTTAGCTTCATAAAGTTCACCAATATGTAAATGTTTCAGTTTGTATATGTAAGTGGAGTTATCGTTCTGGAACTATTTTTTGGTCAATCAAGCCAAAACCTAACATTTTTATATTTTAGTTTGTGAGCAGCTTTTTGGAATACAATATAAAGAGTACCTTTTTGAGCTAACAGCATGGCAGTTCAATCTCTTTACTGACCACAGAGAATGTGTATATCTGTGCTTTAGATTTTAACACCTGTAGAAAGAAAAGGTAAAAAGAAAATAACCTTTTTTTCTCCAGTATACACTTTTTCTTCTAACTGACTTAACCACTGCTGCTTTCTCTCTCTCGTCCCTCAAACTGGGCTTTAGAATCTGTAACCAACTATTTCCGTGGAACATAATAAACAAACATCTATTGCCAAGAGGAGCCAGAGGTGATTAACAGCATGATATGCTCCAAATATTCTATTTAACCAATCAGAAATGTCCTGCTCTAAAAGCCCGACCCCCTTGTAGCCCACTGAAACTTTGAAAAGTACTACCAAAGCTTTTTACATGCCTCTGTGTATGGACTTTTTGGTCGGTCAAATAATTCTTCCCTTTTCCTTACTTTGACAGCATAGCGAGTCCATCCAAAGGTCATAGTCACTGTTGTTCCTGTTGTGGAAAAGCAGCTATTGATACCAATTATCTCTCATCAGTCTTAGAAAGAAAACAAATAAGAACATTTAAAAAAAGAAAGAAAAAAGAAACAAATCACCCATGTAATTAATAGTGTCATATCCAGTGAACTGATCAAAATAATCACAGGTAGGGTTTCTCTACCATGTAACATCAACAGTACAGCTTCTGATCCCCCGATGGTCATGTTCCACAGTATTACTGAATAAATGTTATTTATTTTTATGTTATGTATAAGGGATATTGGTTATTAAATGAATAAATAGATGTACGTTGAATATTGTTTGGACTGGATGGTCTTCTTAACAAAGATTTGGCGCCCTCTTCTGACAGATTTAAGAAACATAATCGTTGCCTGGATTTGATTGATTTATGGTAGTTAGGTAAAAATTTGGACAAATGTTGTTGGTGAGGCCGATCCAAACCAAGAATTAGGACCTGTATTACACTAGGTTAGCTTTAGAATATTACTGATTTTCTTCAGCTATGAGAACATCATAAAAGATCATTGCAATACTTAAATGTATATGATCGTATATGCTACTATTCAGATAACTTAGTAAATGTCCTCAAGTTGCGCCTGGGAATCTGAGCAACAGAGAACACGAACACCGCACACACACACCACAGTATTATGATCTTTCTATTGATGTGTAATTCACTTTTAATTCAGCGTAAACAGTATATAATAAAATTAAATATAACAAAGTTTTATTTTTCAATTAAATTCGGTAATCTATGTAAGGCTCAGGGAGAGGTCGAAAAACTATCAAGATTCTGTAATCGCTCTTAAAGAATCTCACAGAATCTCACGATTACGATTGTAACCATGTAATCGACTTTCCCACATTGCCTGAATGCAACATTAATTCGAGTGCATGTAGCATCCAATGGCAGCATTCAATGTCAATTGCCCCGCCCTCTTTACCCATCATGCTTTTCGGTGTCCAAAACTAAATAGCCAAATACGGTCAAGTTTTTATTCCCGTTAACTATATAAATATATAAATGAAAGATAAAGGGTTGATTTGCCGTATTTAGTTATACAAAATATTGTGAAACTTTTCTGTGCCGACTTGAGGTTTATACATCATGAACCCTGAGTGAAGAACAGGTTACCTCTGGTCAGGTTGCAGGATGTCCGGCGTACATGGTAAAAAGGGCTTCTGCCATGCTTGGCACAGGAGAGGTGGGGTCTCTACTTCTCTTGCGGAATCGCCATCAAGAGATTTCGGAAGCATAATTTTTACTTCTTGGGCTGCCGATGATCACATATCTTGGCGCCCTAATTTCTATTGTCAACAAAAAGACCAGCCATGTCGGAATACACATAACTCCTGCGTTGCAGAAATAAGCATTTGTCTTCTTAAGTTTAATGCAAGTATAATAGTACCAAAATGATCTATGTAGAGTACACACTGTCATAAATTAACATACAATTCTTTGAGATATGACCAGATAAAACATATATCAAGGTAATACCCACTTATTCTCGCCTGCATATATAGGTTCGCTAATAAGGAGTCACAGTGGTGGTTAAAAACCTGCGGTTTACACGAGAGTGAAAACAGGGCGAGCGCTGTTCAGCAGGAAGTCGAACTATAGCTACTGAGTGCGCATGCTCCGCAGCTCTCCTCTATCTAGGGATGCGTTTGGCTTCTTAAAACGGTAAGAACGAGCTATTTTTTTTACTGTGTGTTTTTAAATATACACAACTGTAAAATAGCGACCGCTCTCGCCACACAAGCTGTAGTTTTAGCGGGGTGGTTTGGGTACATTGCGGAGGGGGTTCAGTCAGCCAGGCTCGAACTGAATGGAGGGGCAACGCCGTCGCCGTGCCGTTGTTTGCTGTACGTGCCGCCGCACAGGGAGACGTCATTTTGAGGGGGAGCGGAGAGTTAAAATGCAGAGTTACGAAGGGACGTACGGTTCATAGACAAGCGGCACGTAGCCGTCACACTGTAAATGCAAAGCTTTACCCGTCTCGGGCAGTGGAGTTCACGCTATTGTTTGGATTCCCACACATCAAGTTACGCCCTTGTGTTAGCAGTAATGGCTACCGTCGAGCCTGGTCTGAGGAGCTCCGACAGCGAAAAGTAGTCAGCTGGCTACAGCGGTAGCGATAACCAAGCCAACTTAGTAAAAGTAATTTATCTGCAGCAAAACGTAAAGGTGTAGTTTTAATTGAGCTGCGAATGGTTTTGTAGCCACTTGTTGGTTAGTAGCCCCCAAAACACGTAAAACTGCGGTTTCTAATGCCTAATGCGCGTGGGAAAAACCCACTCTTGCTGTATTCTACTAAGAAAATGTATCCGTTTAAAAAAATAAAAGCTTGCTTTTCTGGCTATCGTGGTTTCACATTTCGGCAAAACACAGCTTCTGAAAATTTACTAGCCTATATAATCTCGCGTGTAACCCTTACGTGCACACTAGCAAACCGTTACGTAAAAATGACTTATATTAATCCAGTTAATATTAGTCTCAAACAAGTGGACCAGTCAGGCCATTTACAAAACGCGGCATTCTTTGGTTTGAATTAGCTAAGCTCACCTTACTTGGAAACAGCACCTCAACATTGAAATAAGATTTATATTTTAATCTTGGCAGATATTTTTCCAATCCAATTTAAAGTAACATGAGTTCAACTAATGTCAATAGCAGAGTTTCGCAAAGAGTGGGCCATGAAGCCAGGAGCTCTCCTTCAAGAAGTGGTCTCTAAGAAGTCACTAACAATGAAGTAAAAGGAAACGAGTAGTTTTGTGTAATTTAGTTTTTAAATTGCATCAAATATTTACATTTAAACAAAGAGTTATTAATAATAATAATAACAGGATTTGAAAATTTCACATTACTCATCTTATGAGTATTCCTTGGGGCACAATTGTCAGATTTTGAAGCAGGCTACAATTGTCTGGATAATATATACAGGGTGAAACAAATAGTGTTAGGTTGTTTTTGTTGTTTATTTTTTAATCAGCTTGTATATAGCTGCAGAAATATTAGAGATGGCACGATACCACTTTTTTTTTATGTCCGATACTATACCCTAAATTTGGATATCTGCGATCCCGATATAAATCTGATATAGCATATTTTATAATCAATAAAATGTTTTTTTTAAATATCTTGTTGCATTTTGTATAAGTTCATACTCAAGTTTAAAAAAACAAAACAAAACTAAAGCTATTCTGTTATACCTGTATGCAAAAAATACACTGTACCCCAAATATGTCATAGATCAGCAATACTGATCAATCTAATAAACTTAAACCCACACCATCCTCCCTATTCTGGTATTTTAAAGAGTACTTAGTGGAAATATTAAGCAACCTAACTAATAAGGTTGCCAACTCCGAACAAAAAAGGAAAAAAAAAAATAGGGAACCACCCCCCACCCTCTGCCCTATAATGCTTAATTGATATAATCAACTCTAATTTAATGCACATGTAAAAGAAAACGCACAGAAATCAATAATTTTTCTATAATAATTAAATAGATTCAACATCCTCCTTCAGCAGAATTGCAGACTGCACAGATGGTACCTTCCCAAAGGAAAAAGTACTATAGCTTAGTAGGTTATAAATTTGACTTTATAGTTAATAATGGATTTCTATACATTTTACATCAGATGAAAACTTTGGTTGTAAGATTCAGATAATTATTTATTAAAAGCTAGACATGACAATTTGAAAGAAAAGCATGGTTTTGTGCCCTCCCTTCCCCTGTTAATGCCCTACCTGCCCCCCTGGCAAAACTTTGCTAGACCTGCCCCTGCACAGTTACCAGCCGTCAGCTACGTAGAAAAGGATCCTGGTGTAGAAAGTAATATTAAATAAATTCTAACAACAGCTTGTCTTTGTGGCGCAAAGTGGGCGATACACTAACAAGAGAGACGGACTCGTGACAGAAAAGCCGATCAGCTGATCACTGATCAGTTTCATAATTGAAGTAGCAGCAGGAGAGGGAGAGAATGAGAGGCAGTCCCAGCATTCACTGGGAATTCTTTACAAACATTCAGAGATAAACTTACACACATGCTTTACTCATCTGGGATAACTTTCTCGGAGATTAAATTCCGGTTTGGTAGCGAGGCTCCAAATCCTCAGCCAGACCACCGACAGGTCTCGCATGCCATAGCCGCTCTATCACAACGCATACTCCTCCGACGTGCTAAGGTTATGAGCTGGGTTACGCTATGTCGCAGGTTTTGTGAGGTGCTTTTGAGTGGATCGGATTACATTTTTTATTTCTCTCCGATATCCGATTCAGTAATTTAGGTCAGTATCGGACCGATACGTAATATCGGATCAGTCCATCTCTAATAAATATTTGAAACTTACCAGGATTTCTTTTATCTAAGCCACTACAATACAAAAACACAGCTGAAAGTGATGACTGACAAAAGCTTATTAGGATCTGGCCTTACACAGTAGTCAGCCACAGTAAAGAAGTCGATTGTAGTAACTAAGAAAATCTTTTTAGTTGGGTCAAACTTCATCAGGCGTTTCCTGTTCTCCAAGCACAGTGGTAAAGTTTTATGGAAAGAACAATGAAGGCCCCACAGTTCCTGTCAAAATAAATAAAGGTAGTCCAAATCTTCAGGTACAACTTCTGCTGTTTTAGCCAATACAGCTGACTAAATCTGAGTAAATCCAGCTGATGCCAATAAATGTCACATAACTAGTCTTTATTTGTAGGCACGTGTGCACTTACATTCTTATCTCAGCTGGAACGCCTCAATGAATTGAATGTAATCAGTGCAGAGGCTCACAAAATATTCAGGCTTTTTCTTTGTCCTTTGAGGACAAAGTTCGCTAACTCATCAGTCATCTTGGGATGCCTAGAGATACTTCAAGATGGGTTATCAAAGTTTTCTGACTTTAGCTCAAAAAAAGCTTTAAAATATTTTTATCCACTTGAGGTTATTTTGCTCCCACCCTCTTTGAGCTTTTTTTGGAATTCTGCTATAAATTGCATCTTAGTATTTTTGGAGTGTCATGTCTCTTTCTTATAATGTTATACAAGTCAGTTAGCTCACCCAATGTTAGCTAGCAGAAGTTAACTAATAATACCTATGGTGGGCTTTTAAAGATGAGTTAAGGGCTCAGATATTCAGCTATTTGTAGGTGAAGCATTTTTTTCTTAATTTCAGTTTGAACTGAAATGCAAACAATCAGAAAAATGTACAGCCTTTTATAACCATCATCTGCCTTTCTTTTTAATATATTTATGGCTTTTCAGATGAACAAACCCCTAGGTAGCTGTTGCACAGAAGTGGCCCCCTCCCTCTAGTCTACTTCAATGAGTGTGATGGCGACCACTGATGAGGTCACTGTACCTATGGGGGAAGTGGTGATGGTAAAGGACGACAGTGGTGAAGGTGACCCCGATGACCCTAATAAGACTCAGGTCATCCTCCAGCTCCAGCCAATCACCACTGGGTATGTACTGAGAAACTACAATTCACTTCAAAGTTGTATAACACCACAATCAGAGCTACAGAGATTCCAGATGGTCAGTCATTTCCCATGCTTACTCTGCTGTACCAGGAGAAAATGTCCCAACTATCTATCCTTTCAGAGACGAGTCTGCTGAAACAGATGCGGCTGTCATGGCTGTTGAATCTCATTCAGGTAAGTGGTTGTCACTAGAGCAGGGAGATGTGACCAAAAATATTTATCACAATATACATTTGAAAATTTGCGATAACGATATAACTGACGATATAATTGACACTAGACAAAATACTTTACAACTCACAACACAACTTTATTAGTGCAAAAAAAAAACATCACTGTATTTTCACATAAACAAGCAGCTGTTTTTATGTGCATTAAAGTTATATAAAGACGTAACAGTGCAAATTCCTTGCTGACAGTTTAACCAAAAGACATTTCCAGTGGAAATTGGCTGTCATATCCTTAGCATAACCATGTATAATATCCACAACACTTAAAAAGAGGTTATACACACACAATACGGTAATATTATGTTGAAGCACAGTACGTATCACTCCGCGAGGCGCCTGCCTACAATAGCCGTAATGCTCCGACAATCCATCAAGCGGTGCGGGTTCGTAGCTTAGCAAAGTCGTACTAAAACATTTGACAGATTTTCGAGCGCCGTGTACGACATAAAATCGTTTCGAGGTCGGTAAACAACCAGAATTCATACATAAGGCACACGGGATTATAAGGGGCACTGTCGATTTTCAGAAAAATCAAAGGATTGATTTCAAGTGTACCGTATTTTCCAACAAACACGGTAATAACGACGGCCCGCTAGCATGCTCTACCAAAAATAGTGCTTTGTTGTGTATCTGACGGACGAAAGCTAAACCTGTTCCACACCACTGAAGTTGCAGCATTTTTACAAACAAATTCTGGTTCATTTCCTTCAACGATCCGCTTTCGCCCTCCTCATTCTGCTTTTTCCTCCATGTGCGTATGAAAACAAAATCACTGCACATGCGCGTTTTACCCATATTCTATTGCGATATTTCATTTTCTTATCGTTGCCCAACATTATACCGGTGTTACCGTGAACGGTATGATATGTCCCAGCCCTAGTTGTCACAATGATTCAGACAACTTGAGGGATGTAACGATCCATGAGTTTTGCAGATTGCATTACATAAAGCTTGTTGGTAAATGTTGCATACATTTATTCCCTGTAGAGCAAACTGAGGGAGACGACGTTGAAATTGGCTGCCCTATAACGTGTGGTGACTGTAAAGCTGTGTTGCTAGTGAAAAAGTTTGTGTGCCCAGGAATCAATGTGAAATGTGTGAAGGTTAGTATCCCTTTTTTTCTTTTGGCTCACATGGAGTAAAATGACAAGTCATTAAAACATTGCCAAATATAGCAACGTGACAACTAGGTCATTCAATAGACTCTGAGCAGGAAATAAACATGTAGCACTGACAAGTGTCCCACTATATCTACAGAGTCATCCAGTTCATTTCTTCTCACTGCAAGTAGCAGGTTTCAAATAACCATGCTCCAAGCAGACATGGATGAAACGACCGAGCAGTTATGAGATAAATGTTCTCGTTCATGCTTTCACAACAATGCTCATTTTTTGATCGCAGTGTTATGAGTTGAATTACATAGGTCAGACTGTATTTGTAATGAACTACTAAGTCCATTCAATCTTCTGATCCACATGAAATTCTTTGTTGTCTTGTGAGCATCGAGCATACACTTCCATTAAATAGGAAGTGTAGCACTGAAAAAACAGAATTCAGTACATCACATGAAAATTATTATTTAAAGTTGAGAAAACTTATGCATATTTTATATTTTTTTCTCCTGATATAACACAGTAAAAAAATATTTCGCTATTCCACCTGCTACAATTGCTCATGGTTAGAAGTCTACCATGATTCTAGAACCACAGCATATCTATTACATTTTCATATTAAAGGCCAAAGACAAGACATATGATACTGTAATGTGTTGCTTTTAGTTATTTCTGTTGTTTCATCATTGCACTTATTGAACATATTTACTAAACTGGCAATCTCTCCACTAGTATGAAGACCAGTTGATCAGTCCCAAGCAGTTTGTGCACATTTCTGGAAAAGCTACTCTGAAAGACTGGAAGAGAGCCATCAGGATGGGGGGAGTCATGCTGAGGTGAGGGGATTTATTTTTGAGACAGAACACTGACATTCTATGGCCCTTAGATGAGCAAGTGCTGGTTGGTTGCGCTGCACCACATGGTAATGAGCTGAGATGTGACTCATCCATCTAGAATAAATATTCAAATGTTCTTCTGTGGCTCTGTGACAGGAAACTAACAAGCCACTGTTGCCTCACTTCTGAGTGTGAGTGAGATGATAACGATAAACCACGGGCCTTCCTGTCTCTTTGACTGGTCGAAATAGATTTTTCTATATCACGTTTAAGCTGCGCTAATCAGTATTACAATGAAATGTATGTTGCCTGTAGTGGAAAACCTGACTGTGATCATTGTGTCTTGCAGATAAATTCATGGATAATTATTTAGTTTCAGGGATACACTACCGTTTGGATGAGTAAAGTAGACTTATTTTATTAATGTAAAAAACCCTCTGTGTGTGCTGTGACTTAGCCGTATATTGCTTCAGTGATCACATGGCTTTTGGAAGACTGCACTGCAAATAATACAGTTTGCGTTATTATACACACTTTTCAGTTTCTTGGATTTATTTGACATCATTTGACAACAATATTTCATCTATGCTTTACATCTTGTGTAGTGATCAACTCAATTTGACAGATATTGAATCATTTTCATGCCTTTGACATTTGTGTCTGGACTTGGATAAAATTAGTTGTTGGTTTCTAGCAGTGAAAGAATGAGCAAAGTGGGGTTTTTTCACATTGAGTTTTCTATTTCAAATTGATGAATTGTGTCACAGCTATTTTCAATCTCTCTTGCAGTCTAAAGGTTACTAGTCTGTCACCAACAATGTGCAGGGTTAAGATTCTCTTTACTGGGTAGAACATCTGTATATGCGCCTCTAATTAAAAGCACAGGAGAAGCAGAGGATTTTGACTATCCAAAAAAAAAAAACTGCATCTTTACATAGATGCAACAGTGTCTCCTTCTGACCAGTGACTCTTATATGGTTACTGGCAATGGCACAGCATCTCCTGTCATGTGGACGCACTGCAGGCAGTCAGAGCCAGAAGGTAGTAGCACTGGGTGATCCTAAGTCTCAAAAGCAAGAAAGCTGTGAGCCAACACATTCTTTTTTTTTTTTCTAGGTTTGAAGTGTTTGAGAAGTAATATAGCTTCTATAATATAGTTAATAATAAATTGTTTACTAAAAATAATCCCAAAATAGACATCCATAAAGAAATTACCCTTACTTTAAGCCCTGTACACATTTCAGGGGACCTGTTGTTTTCTGATCCAAACGAACTATTTGTCTCAACCTTGGTTCCAGAAATGGCAGATGTCCAAAGCTAAAGCTGTACATTATTTGCTGCATGTGAGAAGGCTAACTCTGAAGAACGTCTTAAACATTTAGGAGTGAAGATATTTTTCCTCATGTACCGGAGGAGAGCAGAAACAATCCAGATAAATGTTTCTACCTTCATCACAACAACAGCTTAGGCTAAAGTAACACGTGCCAGACGCTGAAGTGTATATGACAGTAAATATGTCATTTATAAGGATTTAAAATATGATTTTACATTTGACCTTTCGCCTCTGGTTCAAGAGCAAAATGTTAATCTGAAGGTCAAAGTGATAGTTACACTACATAGAGCTATTTAAACTCATTCTTACTGCCACTGTGTGTACTGACAAGATGTATGTATATAGGAAATATAAATATATGATATAAAACACATTATTTTATTATAACATTACAGTAACAGGTTAGATAACCACTGAAATATAAAAGATGTGTATAATATTCCTTGTTGAGTATTGTTTTGTTTTGTTTGTTTTTTTTGGGGGGGGGGGGATAAACTTGTGATCAAAACCTTTTTTTTTTATTTGGGTTTTTTTATTGAACATTTAAATAAATTTACTAAACAATGAAATGAAAGCTACACATTCGAAATAATACCAAAATAAGATTTCATTATATTAAGTAAATACAGAGAGTGAGCTGCCTTGGTAGAGGGTTGTGCTCTCGCAGTGCTTGTTGTTTTACAACTGTTTTGGCTGTAGATCAGTGAAATAATGCAGTCCAGCAAAACTGGCAACAATCAGCACTAAAACACAGCATTAAATTAACATGTGGAATAGCCCTGCAGCAATGTTAAAATAAGAAAGTGGAAATAAATGCAGGAATATGCACACACTTAAACCAAGACCAACATTTTTCATGTTCTTGTCTCATGTTCTTGTCTCATGTTCTTGGCATGAGACAAAATAGTTGGGACACATTTTATGAAGTGTCTTAAAGCAGTGGGCATAAAACTCCCTTTTTTTTTTTTTTTTGAACTGTTGTCGTTCAACCAGGAAATACTTTTGAGAGATACACAAAGACAGAGAGACTGTCACACTAAAAAGCAGCAGCTTTAAAACATGCACCTTCTAAAGCTTCTATCAGCTGCACAGTAACTCTAGAATACAGGTTTGCACAGAACACCAACTGTGGATTTTGCCCTGCCAGTATGGAAAGGACTGCTGTAAGCAAAACTTGATTTAAATGCATACAGATATTGCATGTATTGCAGACGCACTGCTTAAGTCTGTTGCACATTTTATGTAAACCTCTTCTAATATTCTCTCCAGGATATCTGTGTGGGCAACTCTCAGACACGACTTAGTTGTTGCACTTTACACAGTTGCTCCTGTGGTTATTAGTTCCAAACAGAATAAGTGTACTGAAAGAAAGGCACTGCACTGGATCTTCACTTCTAAAAGATGCAAATGTTTTTGACAACGATGATAGCATCTCTGGTCAAACAAACATGTTTTCCCCTTTTTTATATATTTCCTCATTTCTGTTCTCCAGAAAAATGATGGATTCCGGTCAGCTGGACTTCTACCAGCACAGCACTCTGTGCACTAACACATGTCGCAGCACCAAGTTTGACCTTTTAATAAACAACACACGCTTCCCTCCTGATGGCACCGGACTTACCACACCTACATCCTCTCAAGGTAAAAATCTGAATATAGTGTATTATTGTGCCTTACAATATAAAGCGCCTTGAGGCAACTGTTGTTGTGATTTCATGCTGTATAAATACATTTGAATTGAACTGACTAGAAGGTGCAGTGAGTCCAGATTTGCTCATTTAAACAGCAGTGATGTTATAGTCCATAACTGAGTATTTTGTTATATTTGTTGTGTTTTTCAGTCAAAAGATAGGTTTAACATAAGGGCCACTGACTGTTTCTACTAGGCACAGTTACAAGTTTACTTCTAAACCCTTATTTAAAAGTCTTTTATGCGGTCTGCGTTTTTACAGAAAAGAAACATATGAGCTTGCTGAAAGAATGTGGAGGTTTTTTAGTGTCATGGAAAACAAAGCAGGAGGATGATGCTGGTGGTGGAGCTCTCCACAATACAAGCGTTTCTCTAGACTGAAAATAAATGTGTGCAAACTGCACAATGTGTTTAGGTGCACCTGTGCTCATGTAAACTATTATAAGAGTCAACAAAAGCTGCTTCTGCTTTTCTAAACAAAAATCTGATAACACAACAACAGTGAAGATGACATTGTCATTAGTGGTGTAATTTACAGCGCAGCCTCTCCTCTCTGTCTGACACAAACAGCACAAAATCGAGACATTGAACCCAGCTGGAGAAAACGATAGCGTCCTTCTAGAGTTGATAGCAACGGGGCTCATTGCTGTTACCTTCATGGCTACAGAGCCAACAGCAGTATTATCAAACCACCTGTTCAACAAGCTTAGTGGTGAAGAAAAGCAATATTTTCACCTGCTTTCATCCAACACTGACATGTTTTACAGTGACAGCGCAGCTGAATGAAAGAATAATTAAAAAAAGAAAATCTGTCTGTCTGCAGACAAATTGCTTATTTAGTTTGGCTTGATCTTCTAAGTTTTTATAATTTCCTGCAAACTACTGCTGGGTGTTTAATACACTGCATATCATTTAATGCTTTAGGTGATAATTATTCAGCCCACACAGAGAAATGATATGATACAGAAAACTGCTAATTAACTGTGAGACATGATGAAAGCTGCCCAGCAGGATATAAGGTAAAATTAACAACAACAAAAAAAAGATCACTAAAGATAAAGAAGTGTGGTGGGGGAATGTGACACTGAAGTTTGGCTCCCTCTTAAATCCAGAATTGCATTTAAAATTCTTCTCCTCAGTCATGTCTGTTGTCTTGTACAAGTTACAGGTCAGGTGATCCTGGGTAATGGTGGGGCAGCTGCAGAAGACCGAGCAAAGGTCCTGAGCGGGAAGTTGGACTGGAGCTCAAGTTCATCGGAGTCTGCAGACAAAAAGGGATCAGCTGAGATCTCTGGTAACACTGAGCACACATCCAAACACAGATTAAGAGTATAATAACAGCACGGAGATGGAAATCATCTCCAACAGCATGGATATATGTAACACTGTGTGTGAGTAAGATTGCTCTGTGTTGTCTGTTTGTCCGCAGAGGACACACTGAACTTTTGGAAGGGCATTGCAGATGTGGGTTTGTTGGGTGAAGTGGTGACCAACATCAACACGGAGCTTGTGGAGCTGTTAAACAGCGTGCAGCAGCGCATGGATCCGGCCAGCCTACAGGACACAGGTGCAGAACGACGCAAACATGCACTGGGAAACTGCATCGCCAAAACAGAGGCGTTGTGTGGGACACACTCTGACCTATGTGAATAAGAAATGCATGGAAAGAAAGAGCAAATTCAGCTGCTGTTGGAAACTGAAAATGACTGTCCAACAGCAGAAAGCTTTTTAGAAAAGCTTCTTTTAGAGTAATACCACACTGATTTACTGTGCAAACAGCTGAATCTGTTCCTCCTTTCTGACTGACCAAGTAATTTTTTTTGATTGCTTGCTGCACTGATCCCAGATTCCTGTCTGGTAGAGGTGGCCGTGCTCAGTAACCTCGCCCAGGTCTTCGATCTGCTCGATGTGGTCAAGAAGATTGTGGAGAGGAGAAAGCAGCAGACGGATCCCAGTCAGGAGCAGGTGCTCAGCATGCTCACCAGTGAGTACAGAACACAAACAAGGCTCTACTTCAGGAGCTGCCACATAGAGCCGCTAAATTCATACGAATTTTATTTAAATCATTTTTATAGAGCCAATTGTTAAAAACAATCATGGCTTTACGTAATAAAGTAAAGGGAAATTGAATTAAACTGCAGTAATCATGTGAGTCTCAGTTAGCAAGCACTTTTGCAAGAGTGGGAAGGAAGATTTCTCTTTTAACAGGAAAGGAGGGGCAGCCTTCTGCTGATGGGGATTGAGGAGAGGAAGAAGGCAAAAAAAAAGAAAGAGCACAGAGAGTGACCCTGAATAGCTTATAGAAGACATGCTTAGCGGATCCTAGGAAATCCCCTAGCAGCCTGAGCCCAAAGTAGCATAACTAAGTGATGGTTAAGTGACAGTTGAGGTTTGAGGCTAAATTCAAAACCATCGAAAGATTGAATTTGTCTCCTGAATCCAAACTGGCAGCTGGTTCCACAGGGAGGGGCTTAACAGCTGAAGGCTCTGCCTTTCATTCTACTTTTGGAAATTAGGAAGTGTAAGTGTTGTACTGGGATAAATTGGTACTGTGAGGTCTTCGGGATATTTAAGGACAATCTTTTAGGACTTTGCACATGCCAATGAGAATGATCTTGAAGTAATTTCTGGTTGGAAGACATGTGGTCATATGGTACACTTGTGCTGGTGTCCTGGATGAATTGTAGCCTTTTCAGGGACCTTTTAGAGCACCCTGATAATCAGTAGTTACACTAGTCCAACCTCTATGTAACAAATGCATGAACTAGCATCCCTCTGAGTCAGGATGTTGTCATAGTGCAGAGATAAGTGAAGGTAATCCTAGATGTCTGTTTAATGTGTCAGTTAAAGAAAAACCCAATCAAAGATGACTCCAAGGCTCCTGACAGTGCTATTGAAGGTCAAGATAATGCCACTCATAGTAAATAGTTGTTTAGGCATGTTTCATGCATCAAATCTAGCAGCTTGGGTTTGAGTCCAACCTGCAGCCCCTTGCTGCATGTCTCCCCATGCGCACGCTCCCCATTTTTCCTGTCTACTCCTCAAAAAGGCAAAAAGCCAAAAGTCAATGGCTTTATTGTTACATATATGTGGGAAAACAAGTTACTTTTGTTTGTTATTGGTGAGAGACATGAGGTTTAAAAGAAAAAGACAAAAATAGAGAATCAAAATTTGGTTTCAGTCCATCTTGAGTTCCACTCTTTGATTAAGCAAAATTCTTCAGACAGTTGTTCTAATTTGCAATCTTTCAGTTCCTGATTGTGAGGCTTTTGCTCCCAAATGCACTACACCAGCGGTCCCCAACCCCCGGGCCTCGGACCGGTACCGGTCCGTGAGTCGTTTGGTACCGGGCCGCGAGAGTTGATGCTCAGGTGTGAAATGTATAGTTTTCAGGGTTTTTATCGGTTTTCAGCGTTATTTTGTTATCCTTTTTATCGTTAACTCGGTTTTCCTGGGTCTTTTCACGTGTGTTATGAACAACTCTTCTATTTTTCAGTACCGGTACTAGTTTTATTTTGTTGTATTTATCCGCGACACCTTAAAGGCCGGTCCGTGAAAATATTGTCGGGCATAAACCGGTCCGTGGCCCAAAAAAGGTTGGAGACCGCTGCACTACACCATTACCCAGCAATAATTAAAAGGTTGTGTGCTGCAGATCATCATTATTATCACTATATCATTTTAAAAAATAAAATGCAGCCACAGTCACACTATAACTGTTCTCTTTACACATTTTTCTGATAAAATGAGCAGTGACACAGGTCAGTGACAGCAGCTGTGCTTTGAGTCTGACTATATTGATAATGAAAAAGAGTGATGACTCCCACTGCTCCCATCCGAGGTAATAACAGTCAAGATCATTTTCCCAGATGGTGTACAGTCTTGCTTCCTCCATGACTGGATATCATTTTTGGGTTCTTATTTTTTTATTTATTTACCTCTGTGTCCCACCTCCCTCCAAGTCATTTTTTATTTGTCAATTATGGACCAAGTTTACGGAGAATTTAGGGGTATTTTTTTTTTATTTATTTTTTTTACAAACAAGGTAGGATCATCGCTGTATAGAAATTAAATTAGATTTATCATTTGCCTGAACCAAGACAGTGATGGTCTCGGTTGGCCCTCCTTGAACCCAGAGGGAAGCAAATGGAAGCTTTGCTTTTATGCTGAACACTGATGGAGAGTTAACTGGCTACATAGAAAATAAGGAAAAAATAATAATTACGTGAATGCAGAAAGACGCAGACACAGTTTGTATAAAGGATCCAGAGAACACATAAGAGGTTTGGATATCTGGTTAATATTAGTCACTTTAGAATCACCAGGTAACCCAACTCCATATGTTCTCTTTGGACTGTGTGAGGAAGCCAAAGTCCCAGCAGACATGGAGGGAACATCCACACAGAAAGTCCGCGACTAGCTGGTGGATTAGAACCCAGTACCTTCATGCTGTGAGGCAACAGTGTTAACCACTACACCACTGTGTCACCCAATGTGACAAAGTTCACACTAAATACTTTCTGTTGCCAGTCAAAGTTAACAAATAACAGCTCTGGTGCGTAACGTCGTAAATCAATTCAGAATCCTAACAGATAGTTCATGACTTTTGACTCATAACAGTCAAAATTTCCGTGTGAATATATTTTTATTTCACACATCTATCATGTTACTCAAAACTGTTTTTGAATACTTAAAATGAAGAATGACGTTTTTATTGAGTTAGGGTTTTTGTTGTGAAATTAGATTTGACATTTGCTGGATTATACATGCCTAGCCTGTCTGACGAATATTGATATTAGAGATCAATATAAGAACGTGCACGTTGTAATCTTGTAAAAATCTGCCCGGCTGAAAATGAATGCATTCTTGTGGTTGACTCAGCCCTCACTGTCAGTCCTGTCATGTCTCTGCAGACCTGGAGGTGCAGCTGGAAGAACAGAAGAAGCAGCAGCAAGTACGAGCTCTTCTCACCTGCCCCCAGCCTGCCAAAAACAAAACTCCCACTAAACGCCCGACCAAGCGGCCTCGACTCCAGAGACCTGCCTCCACCACCACCCTCCTGACCACCCCTATAAACCAGCAAGCCACTCTGCAGCCTCAGCAGTTCACCGTTCTTTCACCCATCTCGCTGTCCTCAGTGGGGCAGCCATTCACCGTGGCAGGCCTACCTATTGCCTCGCTGTCCCAGTCCTCCAACACAGTCACATTACTCCCTGCCGGCTCGCAGGTCTTCACCCGCTACATGGTGGCTGGAGATGGTAAGACAGAAACCATCACCCTGCATCCGTCCTCAGGTTTGACACTGGTTGGCACCACCGCTTTGCAGGACTCCAGCCAACTGGGCACAGTAATGAGCCCCATGGAGCTGGTGCAGCTAAGCCAGCAGGCCAGCGGTGCAGAGGTGGTGCCCATAGAAGGCCAAGTGGTAGACGGCACCATGCTAGTGCAACAGGAGGTGATGCAGGGGGAAGTGGAGGGCAGCCAGGAACACACGGTCATTGAGATCAATCCAACTCCTGTGGAGCAGGCAGTGGGAGTGATGGAGCTCCAGCTGACCGGGGAGTCAGGCAGAGAAGGGGCCACCATGGTGGTCCAGAGTGGGGTGGAGATGACCATGTCGGCAGAGACGGAGGAGGAGACTCAGCACCAGCTGCAGGAGGCACACACTGAAAGGGTTCAGGAGGTGCAACTGGATGCTAGCGGACACCTGTCGCACGTACAGATAGTGGTGATAGGAGAAAACACTCAGGAAGAAAACAAGGTCAAATAAGACACAACCATCTTTATCCAGCACAGCAGGTATGAACTCATGGACTGAGCCATCACGGACTCGACAAACTGTAAATACACAGGATTTCCAAATCCACAAATTGCCTTGGACTAAAACCAAGCTTTAGGGTAGCCATTTTTCCTTTTTTGTGTCTTTGTACATGCTCCGCTAAGCTTGTTCATTTTTATTGAAGCAAAGAGGGATCTGCAATATATGAAATGCTTATGTTTGTTTTCCAGTTGAAGGTTCGAGCATATAATGACTTGGCTCTAAAATTTATAGTTTTGGCCATTATTTCTGTTCTTTTTTTTATTTTAACCCTGTACTCACCAAAGTAACTGCTACTGAAATCTGGGAACACTGGGACTGTGACTTCAAAGAAACTTGTACGCTTTAAAATCCACAAATTTTTGATGTGATAATTGTGAAGTTAAAGATAAATGTATTTAGAAGCTTAACACACACAGCAAAACATGACGCCTGCATGTGTTAGATGATGTTGAAGTGAAGCAAATGCTGTGCGAAATCCCCGCTTTTACTTTGATTACAATGTCTACATAGAGTTTGGGACAGCACATACTTTGATCTTAAATCGGTGCACATGTTTTGTTTATGAGCTGTTCCACACCATCAGTCCAGTTCACATCAAACTGTTTCACACAATGTCTTCATGTCTCTTTTTTCCCGATTAACCAGACAGGCACAGTAAAATATCCATCAAACATTGTTTTTCCTCAGTAAAAAGAAAAGTTAAATATTTCAAATCCTGACAGATAAGATAAGAGAATACTTGGATGTTTTACTTGAAAATGACCTGAATTATAAATATATTTATTCAATTTTCTGCTGATGGACTGATGGTCCCTGGGGGTCTAATAATAAGGAAAATAATGGCCAAAAGTATACAAATGGGATCATGTCTTTATGAACTATAATTTTACTTCAAGCCTCTGCGAACAACCTGAGGTCAGGAGAAAGCACTGTAACAGTAAAGTCAACATGGACGGCTTTAGAAAAGGTGCTGATGATCAGTCAGATTGGGCAGCGGCAGTCTGCAAGTCCCTTCTGTTCATCAGACTCGTTACCAGTAACAGTGTTGGTGTTACCTGAGGCTAGGAGGAATTGCACTCTGTTTTGCGTGGTAGTTTTGCAAACTGTTTTTGTTTTTGCACTGTGTGACATCCTCGTGGGACTATAGGAGGATGTTGGCAGTGATGCCTGCTCTCGCTCTCAACACTTCAGAGGAAACAGACTGAACTCCTTACTGGAGCGGTATCATTTATCCACATACTGTATTCTCATCAGTTTCATGCTGCCTGATAAATCTTCTCCACTCTTCATTTATTGTGAACACCTGTTGCTTTTTTTCCGTATCTTGGATAGTGTGAGCTACTGGACTGATTGTTCAACTGAGGATATAAAAGAACATAATATACTCAATGTCAGACTTGCCTGTATTTTACACTTGTCAAGTAGTATTTTATTTATTAGCTTTCAAAACTGAAGTTTAAGGAGCAGATATGGGTTCATTTGAGCTCTTGGTTAAAGCTCACATCAACAAAAACCTGTTCATGACTTGTGCTTTTTCCAATAATTTAATTTAAAAAGATAAGAGTATTTGCATACTGACTTTGTAATGTGTTTTAATATCAGATTAAAACAAACCAAAAAAAGATAAGTAGTATTTATTTTTTTTTATTTCACCACCAGAGTGCGCTGTTTGATCACTCCACTACGGGCTTTAGACGATCTGCATTAGTAGATGGTGGAAATGGTCTGCTGCTATAATCTCCAACTCCATGTGTCAGACTTATTGTGGAGCATGACTTAATCTGGGCTGCTATGGACTGATGTGCAGGCCTTCTGGAGGATGAGTCGTGCTGACAGGGCACAGGGCTTCACTGGTTATTACGTTTCGCTGCTCTTGTAGCCCTTAACGCTCTCCGACAGGCTACATAAGGGGAAGGCGTGAGGATTTTGGTTGAGCACAAAGACAGACAAATACACAACCACGAGGCTGAGAAAGACCTAGACGAACTTATTATATGTGGAGTACAAAAAGAGAAAAGGCATCAGTGGTTTGATTGTCGAGCAGCTGGGGGGCCCGGTTAATGCTAAAAGGCTGAGACACTGAAACAGTATAAACACTGTGTGGTGTGGAAAAGGAATAATCATGAAGTGTTCAACAGACTGCGTTGCATGTTTTGCACAAGACAAAGAAATCAGGCTGAGCGCAGGCATCAGTTGCATGTCTGAAATGTCTTAACGTCTCTGGAGGCGATAAAAGGTTGTTAAAAGAGAGGTTACCACGGCTGACATGTTGTCGGTATCACCTCGGCCTTAACAGCTTTAGCTGAGAATAAATCCTTGAACTTGACATCTGGTAGTCAGTGTGCCCTACAGGCAAGGTGGCTTCAAGCTATATCTATAACACCAGGGGAGGAAAAATCTGCCAGAACATATCGGACTTGGAATTTTGTAAAAATTTATTTATGTGTTCTTAGTCATGAACAGGAATTTGTAACAAATATGTAACTGATGTAATTCAATATATTTCACACCATCAGCACATATTTTGACCAGAAAAGGGGAAAGATACATTGAGATCTTGAAAAAAATACATTAATTCGTAAAGTATTGAAAAAGTGACTGAACTGAAGTGTGACATGTGTTATCCAAACCTGGGTCTCTGGGTTAAGTGGCAAATTGAATAACCCCACCACTAAACCGTCCTTCAGACCTCCAAATGTCAGCTTTCTCGCCCTGTAAAAGAAAATCTGAATTACATGGACACAAATCAGTACGCATGAGACCAGAGAGATGAAAAATCATGTTCCAGGATAAGAATCAATAGATCAGAGGTCATTACTGCCTTGAGCCTACGTTGCGCAGTCTGTGTTTACATGTTAAAAAGAAGCTGACACTCGAGAATGAGAATCAGTTATACTGGAAAAGTACACTTAAGCCATAATAGCCCCCCAAAAATCTGTAAGATTCTCACCAGGAAGCCTGTTTAAAAAAATGTTTTAAATAATTTTTTAGGAGAGTCCACAGAGTCAACAAAGTGGTAGTACTGTTTTGTAAGAAGCTAAAGCCTGGCCATTTAGTATGTTAATACAAGAATTCTAAAACTAAAATATATCGGGGGAAAATTATAACAAGTAGAAGTAGAAAATAGAAGTGATTTGAGCTCACTTGCTAGAATGTTTTAATTGTCTGGCTGCAGCATTTTCTATAGCTTAGAGGCGTAAAAGAGACGATTTGTCCAACACAGTAAATACAGCACTGCAATAATCTAGACGCAATGACACAAATGTATGAGTAATTTTTTCCAGTTCAGTTGAGGAGACCATATATCACAATATAGAAATGTTCCTTTAATAAAAGACACACAAGTGAGACCCAGAGAAATATCAAATATTACACCAAGTAACAATAGGTATTGCTAGAGAGCCAGTTACTAACTTGGGTGAAAATAGTGGGCTAGGGCAGATAACCTATCCGCCTGAGGCTTAAAAGACATATACAGCTGAATGTCTTCACCATAGAAATGATAAAAAATGGCATTCAAAGAAGGAATGATGCCAGATAAAGGAAGCATATAGAAAGAAAATAATAATGAACCCAAGACAGAACCTTGTGGAACCCCACAGGTTAAAGGGTTGGAGGCGAACTTGCTTGTTCTAACAGATAAAATCCTACCAGATAAGTAAGAAAACCAATCTAACGTAGAGCCAGCGATACCAGCTAAAACCGTAAGACTGTTAAGCACAATGTTATGTTCAATGGTATCAAAGGCTCCACTGAGATCAAGTATTTACCTATTTATTTAGGTAAATACAAGGTGAAACAAGTTTAATAGGCTGTAATTGTATCTAAACGTCTCTACCAGATTCTTTTCCAACAAGAGTTATTTTTTTTCCACAAGCAAAACTTGACCAACTAGAAATTTTAAGGTTACAAGGAAGTGTTTCCATTTCTCTTTCCACTGGATCTTTTCACAGTGTTGTAGTTATCTGGTCATCTTTGAAAAGCAAATTTCTGTTATTCCAAGGTTATGTGGGATTACTGGACAGCAAGTGCAGGCTAAATTGTGTTGCTAGCAGTACTGTAGTAAAGTTCACAGCAATGGAGTCTGCTGTACTGGTGTAGGACAAGCTGCAGTGATAATGGTCTCTAGTCTCACTTGCTATATTTATCATTGTACTAGCTTGCTAGCTACAGCAGGTTAACATACAGTAGAATGTAAACCCACAAAGAGAAGTCAACCTCAGAGCCAGCAACAGCAAATCTCAACAAAATATCTAACGGACAATCATTTTTCATTATTTTGTAAAAATATATTGTGACTTATTTCTAAACTAGTAATTTTCCAACACCGCATTGCTAGACAGGATCTTAGAACCCCCAAATTAGTAATTACCACTTTAACTATTGCTTACAAGTGACAAACATTTGAAGTCAATCCAGATCTGAACCAGAAATATTTATTCATTACCTTATTTAGATATGTTATATCTTGATTAAAACAAAACACATCACATTGGAAAAAGAACAAATGGGAGGCACTCTCTTGATGTTTTCAAAAATAAATATGACTAAATAATCCAGATGCAAATATTGTTTTGCATTCAGGCACCAATTTCATGTATGAAACCAATTTTCAGCATTTACAGAGGTATTCTGAGCCTTGTACCATCCCTCAGTGTCAAGATCCTCTGTTGGGTTGTTGTGATTGATATTTTATTGAATGCTATTTTATTTATCATACTTTATTGTTTATTTAGACAAAAAAGAAATAAGAAGACATCACCTAGGGCTGTGTGAACTTTCTGTGGGTATTTTTGCAGTTTGCTAATGTTTTAAAGAAAAACATTTACATGATTAATTGAAAACTAATCTTCAGAATTTAACAAAAATAATTAGTTGCAGCTCTCATTTAAAGCCTACAAATTGAGCATTGTGGCTCGCAGCCTCGGCCTTCTTAAGCAGCACTTTAAAGCTTAACTAAGCAGGATTTAAACCTCCCTTATCAGCCTCAAGTGGCAATTATGCAGACGAAGTGATGGCTGTTGCTGCTGCCAAAAGACTTGACAGAGCATCTTCACCCCTACTTTTGCTGCTTGTAGTATACAATTTAATAATGTCACATTAGCTCTATGTTTTCTGAGTGACATATTTTAAAAAAATCCTCATGAGGATCGGCCTTTCAGGACAGCCAGGTACAGCTCTGGGGGTAAGGTGAGGCGAGTGTCACAAGAATCTCAAGAGTTAAAAATTCATATCTGAACCAAGCTTTAGATGATGAAGTGCTCTGTATTCTAAAACGAATCCTGATCAAGCATGCTGTACCCAAAATCTCCTTGCTATTGTCTTGGTTGATGCAGATTGCTGCAGTGTCTTGTAAATGCATTGCTTACACCAGGGGTGTCCAAACTTACATAAAAATATAGGAGGGGCTGGGCCACTTACTAGAAATTAGGTATATAACCTTAACTTTACTGTATTAAAGTTAGAAAAATCACTTAAAAGTGGTCAAATGTGTTATATTGTTGAATATAATTAAAGACAAAACTGCCTTCATCACAGCTTTCCATAAATGGATCTTTATTGATTTATTCAGAAAAAGCTTTGGTTGCTCATTCTCAGAACAGCAGCCTCAGATTTCTTCTTAGAAGATTTACAGAGAAAAAACAATAAAGGGGAAAATGGGACGAGTACATTTCAAGCTTGTTATTTAAGTTATTAGGCTTAGCAAAACATCTATTAACGTCCGTTTGAAACAATTATCAACATTAGACTCCACCACACCTCTCACCCCCTTTTCACTGAGGATGTGAGCCGACTATTCCAGAAACAGAAGCCCAGGAAAAGCCCCCGGACCAGACGGCGTCTCACCCTCCTGCCTCAAAACCTGTGCTGAACAGCTGGCTCCCATCTTTACTCGCATCTTCAACAGATCCCTGGAGCTGTGTGAAGTTCCCTCCTGCTTCAAACGCTCCACCATCATCCCTGTTCCCAAGAAATCCACCATCAAAGGACTGAATGACTACAGACCTGTCGCCTTGACGTCTGTGGTCATGAAATCCTTCGAACGACTGGTGTTAGCCCATCTGAAAGACATTACAGGCCACCAGCTGGACCCTCTGCAGTTTGCCTACCGGGCAAACAGGTCAGTGGATGATGCAGTGAACATGGGGCTGCATTACATCCTGCAACACCTTGACCGCCCGGGAACGTATGCCAGGGTCCTGTTTGTGGACTTTAGTTCGGCTTTTAACACCATTGTGCCTGAACTTCTCTCCTCCAAACTCTCCCAGCTCAGCATGTCACCAGCTACCTGACAGATAGAAAGCAACAAGTGAGACTGGGGGAGAGCACCTCTGAAACTCGGTCCCTCAGTATTGGTGCCCCTCATGGATGTGTCCTCTCGCCACTACTGTTCTCCCCCTACACTAACGATTGCACCTCCAAGAACTCGGCTGTTAAACTCCTGAAGTTTGCAGATGACACCACTGTCATTGGCCTCATTCAAGATGGTGATGAGTCTGCAGGAAGTTGAGCGGCTGGTGCAGTCAGCACAATCTGGAGCTGAACACTCTTAAAACTGTAGAGATGACAGTGGACTTCAGGAGACATCCCTCAACTCTGCTCCCCCTCACAATATCAGATAGC